TGGCCAACAGGCAATGCCACGGCCTCGGCCCGCATGCCTTGCCACGGCGTTGAGCAGCATGCCGTGCCACAACATTGCCCAGCGTTCCATGCCACGACCTTGCCCCGCATGCCTCGGCCCCGGCCCGCATGCCTTGCCACGGTGTTGCCCAGCATGCCATGCCACAGCATTACTCAGCGTGCCATGCCTTAGCTTTGGCCAACATGCCGTGCCACGGCCTCGGCCCGCATGGCATGCTACAGCGTTGCCAAGCATGCCAAGGCCGGAATGCTGTGCCACGGCCTCGGCCCGCATGCCCTGCCACGGCGTTACCGAGCGTGCCATGCCTTAGCCTTGGCCAACATGCCATGCCACGGCCTCAGCCCGCATGGCATGCTACAGTGTTGCCTGGAATGCCAAGGCCGGAATGCCATGCCACGGCCTCGGGCCGCATGCCATGCCACAGCGTTGCCCAGCATGCCACGGATGAAATGCCATGGCATAGCCTCAACCCGCATGCCCTGCCACGGCCTCGGCCAGCATGCCACGCCACGTCCTCGCCCGCATGTCTTGCCACGGCGTTTGCCCAGCTCGTCATGCCATAGCGTTGCCCAGCGTGCCATGCCTTAGCCTTGGCCAACATGCCATGCCACGACCTCGGCTCGCATGGCATGCTGCAACGTTGCCCAACATGCAAAGGCCGGAATGCCATGCCACGGCCTCGGCCCGCATGCCGTGCCATGGCCTCAGCCCGCATGCCTTGCCACGGCGTTGCCCAGCATGCCATTCCTTAGCCTTGCCCAACATGCCACGCCAACGCCTTTGCCTTGGCCAACATGCCACGCCACGGCCATGACGAGCATGCCATGGCACTGCATTGGCAAGCATGGCTTGCCAATGCCTTAGCCAGCATGCCATGCCACTGCGTTGCCCAGCATAGCCAAGGCCGGCACGTCGTGCCACGACCGCGGCCAGCATGCCAAGCCACGACGTTGCCCGGCACGCCTAGGTGGGCATGCCCTGCCACGGCCTCGGCCAGCATGCCATGCCATGGCCTCTGCCCGCATGCCTTGCGGCCGACTTGGCCCAGCGCGCCTTGCCACGGCGTTGCCCAATGTGTCATGCCACCGCCACGGCCAGCATGCCATGCCACCGCCCTGGCCAGCCTGCCATGCCTTAGCCTCGGCCAACATGCCATGCCAATGCCTTAGCCTTGGCCAGCACGCAACGCCACGGCCATGCCAGGCATGCCATTTCACCGCCTTGGCAAGCATGCTGTGCCACTGCCCTGGCTAGCATGCCATGCCACAGTGTTGCCCGGCATAGCCAAGGCCGGCCGGTCGTGCCACGGCTGCGGCCGGTATGCCAAGCCACGGCGTTGCCCGGGACGCCAAAGCGGGCATGCCATGCCACGGCCTCGGCCTACATGCCTCGCCACGACATTGCCCAACATGCCATGCCTTAGCCTTGGCCAGCATGTCATGCCACAGCCAGCATGCCACTGCCTTCGCCAGCCTGTCGTCCCTTAGCCTTGGCCAACATGCCATGCCACGGCCTCGGCCCACATGGCATGCGACAGCGTTACCCAGTATGCCTTGCCACGGCGTTGCCCAGCATGCCAAGGCCAGAATGCCATGCCACGGCCTCGGCCCACATGCCATGCCACAATGTTACCCAGCATGCCAAGGCCAGAATGCCATGCCACGGCCTCGGCCCGCATGCCATGCCATAGCCTCGGCCCGCATGCCATGCCACAACGTTGCCCAGCATGCCAAGGCCGGAATGCCATGCCACGGCCTCGGCCCGCATGCCATGCCACAGCCTCGACCAGAATGCCACGCCACGGCCTCTGCCCGCATGCCTTGCCACAGTGTTGCCCAGCGTGCCATGCCTTAGCCATGGCCTCAGCCAGCACGCCATGCCATGGCCTCGGCCCGCATGCCTTGCCACAGCGTTGCCCGACATGCCATGTGACAGCGTTGCTCAGCTTGCCATGCCATAGCCTTGGCCAACATGCCATGCCACGACCTCGGCCCACATGGCATGCCGCAGCGTCGCCCAGCATGCCAAGGCCAGAATGCCTTGCCACGGCCTCGCCCCGCATGTCATGCCACGGCCTTGGCCAACAGGCCATGCCACGGCCTCGGCCCGCATGCCTTGCCACGGCGTTGAGCAGCATGCCGTTCCACAACATTGCCCTGCGTTCCATGCCACAGCCTTGCCCCGCATGCCTCGGCCCCGGCCCGCATGCCTTGCCACGGTGTTGCCCAGCATGCCATGCCACAGCGTTACTCAGCGTGCCATGCCTTAGCTTTGGCCAACATGCCGTGCCACGGCCTCGGCTCGCATGGCATGCTACAGCGTTGCGAAGCATGCCAAGGCCGGAATTCCGTGCCACGGCCTCGGCCCGCATGCCCTGCCACGGCGTTACCGAGCGTGCCATGCCTTAGCCTGCATGCCATGCCACGGCCTCAGCCCGCATGGCATGCTACAGTGTTGCCTAGAACACCAAGGCCGGAAT